TCATAACATGTTTACACTGCTTCCTAAAGTGATAACTGCATTGTTCCTAAAGTTATTCAATCATGATACATGACATGATTGTTTTACAATTTAATATATTAGTACCCATATGACTCTGTCATTGTTTTACATTCATTCAAATGTAATAGTTGATAATTAATGATATTTTAGAAAGTTATTTTGTGATATTTTATCTATTCCAAACATTAAATTTACAAATAAATACAGACTCAGATTCTCAAGTTGTCCAAATACTTCAAATATTTTACTTCTAAATATATTGACATTTTGTGTAACACTAATTTTGAATGCTCTTGAAAAGATATTATCAGAGTTTAATTGTACTCAGCACACCATCTATTAACTTTGCAATTAAGTATGATTTGATCAGGAAGCCATCCTTAACTTTCTCTTTGCCCTCATGACACTTTTGAATAATTTTCAAGATATTGTAAATGAAGAAAATAAGATTGTTGTCTGCACATTAAGTGCCATAATCAACAGAATGAAGAAGTTAGTGAATTCTTAAAATACCTACTATACAATAGTATATAATACTGTGTAAATGTACCTCTGAGAGCCTTCCTTCAGCTACTGAAGCACTGTATGTTCTAGGTAAATTGGGCTATATTTGCATTTTAAAACTATAACATATACCATTGGATAAGAATTCAAAATAACTAGATAGAGAACTTTTCTAATATGTATCTTGCAATAGCAATGAGAGAGGAAGTATTTTCAAATAACTTAATATTTTAGTTCTTTGGACAAGCTCCCAGTTTTAGCAAATATGAAGAAAATTGTTATAAATATTTTTCAAGGTTCTGTGCAGATATATGCTTTAGATTTTTTAAAATACCAAGGAGTAGAATTTAAATAATTTTAATGGTGCTCAATGTATTATTTTTTTCTTTTATGGCTTATGTCTTGGGTTTTCTATTTTAAAAGTATCCCCAAATGGTGACCTAGATATTCTTCTTTGTTGTTTTCTGGGAGATTTAGCATTTTCATGTCTAATATTTATGTCTATGATCAACTTTGAATTGAACTTTTAACAGATGTCACGTCTGTTATGAGATTACTTTTGTTGCTGTTACTGAAAAAACTTTCCTTTCTCCAGTGAATTGCTTTTGTCCTTTTGCTGAAGACAGTCTGTTTAAAAATTTGTGGATCTGTTTCTGGGCTCTCTGTTTGCTGTTCATTCACCAATACCACACTCTCTTCATTAATGAATATTTATGGTAGTTATGATGTTTTGCAAGTTCTCTGACTTTGTTTTCCTCTTTTAATAACATATTGGCTGTTCTTGGTATTTTGCCCCTTTGCATGAGATATAAACTTTTTAAAATTGGACTGGGCCACATGCTTGTTAGGCAAGTGCTCTACCACCTATGCCATGAGCTAGTCTTTCGAGTTTTTTTTTTTAGTACTAGAGATTGAACTCAGGGCCTACACCTTGAGTCACTTCACGAGCCCAGCCCATTTTTGTGATGTTCTTTTTTCAAGTTAGGGTCTCACAAACTATTTACATGAGCTGGCTTTGAACTGTGATCCTCCTGATTTCTGCTTTCTGAGTAGCTAGGATAACAGTCATGAGCCACCAGCATCTGGCTCCTTTTGCTTTTCAGTATATTTTTCAGACAGGGTCTCACTGATTTTTTCCTTGGACTGGCTTCAAACCACAATCCTTCCATCTCTGTCTTCTGAGTGGCTCACATTACAGGTGTGCACCACTGTGCCCAGCACTAAACTTTTGAATTGGTTAGTAAATATACACAAAACAACTTGCTAGATTTTGATTGGATAATAGCATTAAATCTATAGATTTAGTACCTCTGTAGATGAATTTGGAAAGAACTTACATAGTAACAATACTGAGTCTTCCTATCCATAAGCACAGAATGTCACTAGATTTATTTAGTTCTTTTATTTCTTTCATCAGAAGTTTGTAGTTTTCCTTACATAGATTCTACACATATTTTGTTTAATTTATACCTTAGTGTATCTCTTTTTGGTGCTAATATAAATAACATTGTGTTTTCAATTTTGTTAACTCTAATTTTTAATTGCTGGTACATCAGAGAATAAGTGACATTGATAGATGAGCTTTGTTTGCAGTCCTAGAGACTGGGGATCGAAGCCAGGACCTCTTGCATGCTAGGCAAGTGCTCTACCACTTGAGCCATACCCCTTGATAGATGAGCTTTGAATCCAGAAACCTTGCTGTTTCTGCTGATTAGTCCCAGGGATTTCTGTTGATTCTTTGGGATTTTTCTACTTAGGCAGTAATGTCGTCTTCATACAAAGACAGCTTTTTTTTTCTTGCCAAATTTTTATATCTTTTACTTCCTTTTCTTACTGCATTAGCTAAGACTTTCAGTATGAAAGTGTGGTGAAAGGGAATATTTTCTTCCTTAATTTAGCAGGAGAACTTTTAATTTCTCACCATGAAATGTAATGTTGACTGTGGTTTTTATAGATATTTTTTATAAATTTGAAGTTGTTGACTTGTCTATTCCTATTTTTCCTAAGTTTTTTTTTTTTATAGTATTGAGGTTTAAAATCAAGGCCTGACTGCTTGCTAGGCAAGCACTCTACCATTTGAGCTACTCCACCAGCCCTATTTTGCTAAGATGTTTTATAATTGTGAATGGATTTTGGATTGTGTCAAATGTTTTTTCCATATCTATGTAATTTATTATGTGTTTTTCTTCTCCCTTTTTGACAGTATTGTGGTTTAAACTTGGGCTTGTCATGCTTGTTAGGCAGACACTCTACCACTTGAGCCATGCCCCCAGCCTCATTTTTTATTTTTTACTACACTAATGTGATGAATCAGATTAAATGATCTGAATATTGAGCCAGTCTTGCACAATTGGAATAAATCATACTTGGCTACATATAATTCTTTTTGTATACTATTGGGTTTGATATGTTAATATTTTTGTTTTCCATGATTTGTTTGAAAAAATCTCCACTCTAACAGTATTTTAAACTTTGTGATGGATATGTACATGTAAACAAAGAGGATATCTTAGACTTTGGGAATGTATTTGGTGAAGTGAAACAAAAGCCAATACCATTTCAACAAACCAAAAATTTTCCCTTCCATAGTGCTTATCACTGTCCTTGTAAGTCCCGGGAACAGAAGCGGCATTTTCAAAGAACTTGTTGGTATTTCAAAAGACAAACTAGATATATTCAATAGATATCTATTTAGCATCTCTTTTGCACTGGGAGCAGGAAAACAAGGATGGTTGCATGGAGTTCAGCCTATTCTGGGTTGCATGTATCAAGATTAAGTGCAATGCTAGCATCACATACACAGGGCTCTGGGCCCATAGAAGTGGGACTGGTGAGCTCATCTTAAAAGAATAAAAGATAATTTCACAAAAGCACTGCCATTTGTGAAGAACTCTGAAACTGTCATAATGTTTGTCATTGAAAGAAAATTAGAAATCCCCAACAAAGAACATAAAAACGCCATGGAATGTGAATGCAGTTCTGAGTAACTGGATATAAAATGTGGGGGAAAATAGTGAGCCAGATTAGAAACATAGTAATGCTTAATTCAAAGTGACCTTTAGTATCCTACTAAGAAACTTAAATTTATAGCCTTCTACTTGTGGGGGGTCTTTGGAACCCCAAGCCCAAACATTTTTTCAGTCATCATACCAATGTAGTAAAAAACATTTCTCTAAGAGAATAAGGTATATACTGAAGAACTTACAATACATAGGAAGTTGTTATTTCCATTTTATAAAAATAGTCTAAGACCACCAGTCACACATGGTTGTGTTATCCACATTGTCCTGTTTCCAGAGATCTTATCTTTTATCCTTCTCTTTATTATTGCACTTTTGTGCACCATGGGCCTAATGTCTACAACCTGAGTACCAGATTACTAATGCTTATTCTTAAATTCATATTTAGTGAAATTTCATATCATTCGTTTTGACTTTTGATAGTATGTGTTGGGCTGGCAGAGTAGTTCAAGTGGTAGATCACCTGCTTAGTAAGCATAAGGCCCTGAGTTCAAACCCCAATATATCCAAAAATAGTATGCTTTGTTCCTAATATATATTTTGAAAATTAAATGTAATATGAGCATATTAGTGAATACCTAAAATATTGTCATAGAATATTTTTGTAGTATTTTAAACATTTCATATTAGAATTTGAATCTGATTTTCCTATTGTACTTTTGCACAAATTGTACTTATAATCAGAAGACAAGATTTATTCTTTAGCATTAGGGGCAAAATAGAAATGTCTCAAGCATGACAAACATGTCTTAAAAGTGGGAATTATATAATTTTAGGCTTTGTACAACAGAAGGCCGTTTAAGGATTGCTTAGTAAAATAATACTGGTTTACAAAAGAAGTCTGGACAAGACAAATCACTAGCCATTGCCATAGAACCAATTACAGACAAGACTAGACTAATGTCTAAATTTGATTTTGAATTAGTCTTTTACTCTATTGTTCAAGTAGGTCCATTTTATGAGAATATAAATATGTTGTATCTGACTAGGTTCTTCTGTTTCTTCTATAAAACTCAAATGAAATAAAACTCAAACTTTGCAAGCCATAATAATGAAAAAATTTCTTTTTAACCAATATTTTATCATTCCAAAGGAAGATCTGAATTGAATTTTAACATTTTAAGAAATTCTATTCAGTTAGCTTATATCAGCAGTCTATGAAAAATTAGGACAATAGTAGTCACTAAGTACAAGTTCATTTTATGTAGAAAGTTGACAAAAATTCATACTAATTTCTGAAATTGTTTAAAATGTGTAATTTAATTTACAATGAGAAAAAATAATAATGAATTTTTGCATGAAAGCAATTTTTATATTACAGTGATCTCTTTGTGACTTGTATGTGTCTGTAGAATATAAGGCTAACATATAGCATATATACTATAGGTAACTAACTACACATTATCTGACTACAGTATATCATTAATACTAAAGAATATTTGTAATTTGGAAGAAAGTCATAGCATCAATGAAGTGGGGAGGAAAAAGTGAGAAAGGAAGGACTAGATAGACATTTCCTATGAATGAGATGAAATAATTGTGAGGAAGAATAATTCTAAAAGTTTTAAATAAGGATGAAAGGAAGTGAAATGTGTTATGTGAGCAGGTGACAGCTTGAGTTGCTAAAGTTTCTTTTGAACATGTGTAAAATAAATTAAGTGTGGTGTGCTCCTTTCTCACAGGTTGTATGTACACCATCTTCTCTCTGAAGCCCACTCCATACCCCTCACACCTCTTCCCCAGCGCCTAGCCTGTTGTGGGCGCTCAATAAACATTAAACAATCAAAGGACAAGCTACTGTCAAAAAGTTTGGAATTCACAGGAATCAATAATTTTGTTATTATCATTTAACATTTATTGAGGGTCAACAGCAGACTTAATTAACATGTGCAAATATGTTAATGTATAATCACATATAAAGCAAATAATTAAATACAATTTGTGTTAACTAAACCTTCAGTTTTACTCCATTAATTTTAATTAATTTGTTTTCTCCTTTATAACTTTGACATATCAAGAAATATATACATCATTATTAAAAATAAATGAACTTCTCTCAGTGAAATCATCATGTTTAGATATTAACATTCTTTAAAACTTAAATCTACAATGATTATACATCACAGATTCAAGAAGGACCAATGCACAAAGAATGGAAGAATCTAATCAGGTGAATGAGGACAGTCACAAATACATAAAACATTTGGGTGTTGCTTACTGTTGTGACAATTTAAAATATTATTACAGCTATGAATGGTACCATTGCTTACAGAATAGCATCAAGGGCAAAGACAGAAATCCTTCAGGTAGACACAAATTAACTTCCTTATGAGTTTTCAAACATTTCTCAGTAAGGCAAAACTGAAGTGGACATAATAAAGAAATGAACTTTGTTACATTTATGATCAACCCTCTGTAGTTTTATTCTCAATAAAATGATTAGAAATTGTGTTCACATTTATTCTTGGTGATTAATAAGCAATCAAATTTCATTTGATATTTTAAAAAATATTTTGTCATGTTTCTACTGAATTGGATTTTGAAATGACTTTTAATTGTTAAGAGCATGAAAAACTATTCTTAATAGCCTTTTCAACTTAATTTTGAGATACTGAAGTATCTGTAAGTATTTAAATTTATAAAGTATGATTTTCCTTAGCATTTGAATCTTAAGAATATTAAAAATGAAAGTTTTTATAGATCAAATTTACTCTTAAAAAGGATAGCCTCTATATTCTGATGTAAGAAACATACTATTTTGAAACATTTTTGCACAAAAAGTTTTACATTTGGAAAAAGTATTGAAAGGATCTTACTTGGCTCCCAAATTACAAACATAAGAAAACTAAACTTGTGATTAAAGCCTAACTGTTTTGAATTTAGAACATACATTAGCCAAATTAGGTAATTGTCTAATTTTCTCTTCCCTTTTCCAATTTTTAGTAAATTCATGATGTAATAGCTGCAATTACTGAATTAATTTTCTGATATCTTTGTCGTATGACTCTTTAGCAGTTTTATTTCAGAAACAACAAAAATGATGTAGTGATTAATACTTAATTATTAATTTTCCTCTACTACTTCCACCTTAAAATGGGGTAAAGAAAGACTCAGGGACATAGGAGTGGCTCAAGTGCTAAGTAGAGCACCTAGCTAGCAAGTGTGAAGCCCTGAATTCAAACTCTATAACCTTCAAAAAAAAGGGGGGGGAGGAGAAGACACAACCATTTATATTCTAATTTCTGAAATACTTGGTCATCTTCACTACTTGGAGTTTCATTCTGATTTGTGAAAAAAATATCCTCTTAATTACAAAGTCTCTGTTAGGCACAGGTTGTTAAAATCAAGATCACCTAATATTCCTTTCTTCAGTAACTTCTCCGTGTTTGCATTCGACCCACAAATATTTTTTGAACACTTACTGTATGCACACACTCTTATAGGCTCTTAGAACAGGGTCTAAAGAAGTTTGTGATGCCATATATGGAAGTGAATGAGAGAAAGAAAAAAAGAATATATGCAAGTGATTTGTGTTGTGACTATTATGTTGACCTTTCCACTGAAGGACTTGCCTCCCTCCATGCAAAAAACCAAAACTTAACAATTTTTTTCTTTTGCAAGAAAGAGATTGAATGAAGGATGGAGAAATTAAATTTAAGAAAGCAGGTTGATTTTGAAAGGAGTACCAAGGAGGAAAATATACTACAAAATGTTTGAAATTACATATCAATAAACAAACTATTTATAATAATGAATCATTCTATTTATGGAAAGCAATGTACTCCTTAAAAATATAATACACAAATATGTAAAGATGAATTTCATAGTGTAGCGAGTATTGTAAATTCATTATCGTTGGCATCCCTTGGACGTGGTAGAGAAGTACTGAGAAGTATTCTGATACTTTCAGGTAATTCCTTTTTGGCAAGGAAGAACAGTCAATTTTTTTTGTGCGTGTGTGTTTGTGTGTGTGTGTGGTGTGTGTGCGTGTACATTCCTAGAAGTGTGTGCATGTGCACATGCCTATAAAACACAGAAATTTATAAAGTCTTAATTCTCAAAACTGTAATGTAGCTAACTTAAGTTCTTCATGAGAGAAATAATTGAAAATCAAATAATTCATCATAAACCAGAGATGAAAAAGTACTGTGAACTTATGCTGCATAAATTTCTATTTATATTGTATGAGGTCTATTTTGGTAAGTTACATTAACATAAAATTCATTCCATTTTTAATAATATAAATTTCCCATGATGTAAAGTTTAGCTTAGATATTTCCAAAGTATAATTATGGTGCAGACTAAGTCCAGAGATTCAATATACACAATTATACTTGGATCACAAAGTGCATGTGAGATGTATTAAGAATTATAAATATCATTAGTTTTTCCTTAACTCCTTGAATTCAAATTTAAATGAATGAAAAATATCTTGATGACTGTTTATTTATTTCATTGTGTTATGAACTAGTTTTAGTTTATATTTATTCTTATATTTCATTTATTTTTTCTTCTGCAGATAACTAAAAGCTATATTAAGAAAAAAATACACAAAGCCTTATAGCATCACCTTATGAATAAATATTGGAACACTATGATGAAATCTATAGAATGTAATTATTTATGATCTATTCTCACATAAACTCCCATCTTTATTAAAATCTTAAAGTACATATTATCCATATCAACTTTTAGCCATAGATATACCATTACAAAATAGGCAATATATTCAAGTATATTACTTCCTATTATTTTTATAGTTGAAATACATGAGGCCACTGTCATATTTAAAACTAAAATGATTTACTAAGTCTACATATAAAGAAATCTCATCTTTTTATAAGCCAAGGGCCTAAGCTTTCATGGGATGAAAGGTAATTATAATAGAAATATTATGAAATCATTTGGAGCAGGTTCATATCATGAAGAGTCATTTCTTGTGTGTTGTTCACTTAAACATGACAGAACTTTTGAGAGTGATGCTAACAGTGTTCAACAATCTGCAAGGCACTATTATTATCTGTGCAATTGCTTTTATTCTAAGTAATCTCCTAATATGCTGTGGCTACAAAAGCAGCCTCTGCATGTAATGAGTAATCGTTCATACTTGAAGGGAATAAAGCTATGAAGCTTAGGGGATAAAAGTGATTTGATTTATCTCACCTACATTAAAAGTGATTTTATAAGGAAAATTGTCTAAATAAGTGTGATCTGCCTACTTACAAATTTTTAATTTTTCGCCTTTTACACATTTTTTCTTCTTTGAGCTATATGGTATCTTGTCATATAGACTTACCAGGAATTATTATTTTAATTTAAAAAAATTATTAAGCTGAAATAAAGATCCAGTGCTCTTAATTTATTTTTCAGAAACTATAATACCTACTTGTCTTTAAAAAGAATTTGGTAAAAATGTCCTATTGAATTCTAAAATTTCAGGTGGTATGCAGAAGCCAAAATAAGTTGAAAAGCCTTCTCAGTGCAATTATGTGATTTTTATTTTGAAAAGCCCAAGGAAATAAATCCTTAACCAACCTTTTGGTTTAAATGATCTCCAAGACAAAGCGCAATATCACTCCAAATGTCTGAAGTCTTAATTACACATTTTTCCCAAGAATTTCTAATTATGATATACTGAAATAAACAGCTATTTTATGCCATTATAGTTTATACAATGCTAAAATTTCAGACCTTTTGGGGCAATCAGTAAGTGAAGTCATCATATAAAATGAAGCAACTTACTTTTGCTCATGTTTTACCCCTGTGTTTTAAATTGTGCATATTATTTTTCAAGCAATGTAAATTGTTTTTCCCTAAATATGATTAGATCACTCTTATTGTTCAGGCTATGATCGGTGATGTGGCAAGGTGGTATTGAAACTTAAAACCAAACAGAAATATGTCTACCAGTTGGCCCAACTCATTTCCTTATCCCAACAATCTTCAGCATCTCTGCTGATGTAATTTAGCTGCGTGTGGAAGCTTCCTGTTCTGAATTTATTCTCAAACTTTGATACAGAAAAGAAAGACAAACCCAGATTGCCACCTCACATTCTCCCTGGCACAGAAAAACATGCAAGGACAAATAGATTTAAAGGTTATTGTCTTCCGCCTGTCTGAATCCAGTGTTTTCCTCTGCATGTTGTCGTCTTTCTAAAGAAGATAATGTCAACCTCCTTCATTTTTTTTTACCTTGCTCTACTGTCTTGCTTGTTTTCTCTTCCTTCTTTCCTGGTGCAGCTGCGAAGCAAAGATAAGGTTTAAATAAGAATTCCAGTCAGAAATGGTGCTTCTGCTTATAAAAGCATTTTGGAATATATTCAATGCCAAATATTTTGTCTAAAGAATGTGTTTTCCATGCTTTTAAAAATGTTTCTCATCTCTCTATAATGCAATTGAAACCTATTTTAAATCTAATCTTAAACAATGAGAGAGAAAAAAAGCAATGTATTCCTTGTGATACGCTAGCTACTTTTCCCACCATCTTTTTTCTATTAAATTCCTTTACACTCTGCTTTGGGTAGACAAGATCTACAAAGAATTCCTCTTGACAGGGCTATGATTAATTGGCTTATATTCCAAGTTATTGCTGGAGTCACTTAGCGTCTTGTAAATGTCAGTAAGATGCTCCTTTAAATTCAAGCTTAACATGGCTTAATCAACTGAAAGGACAATGCTGCCTTGCTAGAGGTTCATTTAAATATTAAATAAAACCATTCCAAATCACAAGTAGTCAAATGAGAAATAATAGGACATTTAAGTGCAATATTCTTTGAATTATGCTTTCTCTAAGATTTATTGATTTCAGTGGAAGATTTGTTATTTATTTAAGCTTTAAAACAGTAGAAATTATTTACACAAATCAGTCCATCCCACTGAAGTAATTGATTTAAGTCAGAATCTTCAGAGGAGTCTAGAAACCCTTAGCTGAAGAATTGATAAGAAATAAAATATTGCTCTCATACCAAGTACCTCCCCACCCATAAGGGGAACATACAAGAGGAAAAAACCACAACTTTAAAATTAATAATGTGCTGTCAACAGCTTAACCCAGTGGTGAAACTTAGAACTATTCATTCATAGTGGGACATTCAGACATCCTGAAATGTGATATGCACCTCTAAAGTGTCTAGTATCTAATGGGAATTCAGTTGTCAAATATTTAGCTTTCCATTTAATCAAATACAGGATACAGAGAGCATGTTAAACAATATTATGAAGAAATATTTAGATCAATTAAAAATGTCTATAAAGTAACTGGCCATGATCTTTTCAGAAGGAAGGAAGGAAGGGAGGAAGGGAGAGATGGGAACGGAGGAGGAAAGAAAGGAATAATGTAAAATATAAGAAAGGACAATATGAATACATAGGCTTCAAAAAATACCCTAAAATTTGAATATGCACTGATTAGAAAGTGAAAACAAATCTCTGTATTTCAATGAAAGTAACCCATTATGTTATGACCTTAAGTTAGAGTGAACTTTGTGACTCTGCAGTAATTATTAAATTAAAAAGCAAATAAATATTTATTAGCCTCACAAATCCTATGAGTGGATACATCTTATAAAAAGGAAGATATTATAAAGTAAACGGTAATGAGGACTATACTTTTTATGTTCCTATTTTGTTAAACCATGATCAGTGTTAGGTTAGGACTGGTGGGAACAGGATGGCAACTTGACTTCAATCTTGAAATAATGGCAGGAGTCCTAAAACAGGCCTAGGATAAAGAATTCCAGAACCTGAGTTACAAGCAGAAAAGAACTGTGTGGAGTAGACTTAAATTATTTAATTCTCTCCCTGGTTTTTATAGGGCACATTTATCTTAGAAGAAGCAGCAAAAGCTTGAAAGTATACATTCCAGTTTTGTCACTGAATTGCTGCAGAAATGAAAGTACATTGCTTAATCTCATGTCTTAATCTTTAAATAAAGTGTATATGATGCTGTTAGGCTAGTTTTGTGATATAGGTGAAGGTAATTTAAAGGAATCAGTTATGGCAAGCACAAAACTCAGTAAGTATAAGTTATTATTTTATTGACCTCTGTCTTAAATACAATCATGCCTTTTCTTTCTTTCTTTTTTTTTTTTTACAGATTAATTCCTATTCATCTTTCCAGTCTTACATCAAGCATGGAGCACATTTAAAAAAATTAAATGTGAAAAGTAAACAAAGAAAACTTCTAGAAAAATTTATCAATTAAAATTGAAACTAGATAAGTTAGACATGGTAAAAGTAAGTAGCAAACTAGCAATACATATCTGAAGAAATCCTGAAATTCAGTTAAGAGAGATGAGAAGATGGAAAATACACAAGAATCTTTGGTAAATATAGATGTTAGGATGAGTCCTAACATATATCTAATCGGATGTTTTAAATAAAACAAATAGGGAAAAGCAGTATTTGAAGAGAAAATAGTTAAGACATCTGTAGAATTGCAGACCCTAATACTCTGCTCCAGAAGTCCAGGGAATCCTACATAAGTAAGGAAAGGGTATACTAATTGAATTCAGCTCTTTTCCCTCGCACTGCCAACAAAAAATAATTTAAAATAACGTTTTCTTTAAGACAGCACAAATCAAATGTTGTACCGTAGAAGAAGATGGAACCTACTATGTAGTAATATCAAATCATGGGTTTAATTAGAATTTTCCTGCTAATGATGGCATGTGATTTTCATATGCTTTTTGTAGACATATCAGTTTTACTATTTCTTAAAGAGAATCAAATTTTGGGTGCTGTTGCTTTCTCTTGTGCTATTTGATCTTTATTTCATTAGTTTCTACTACTTAAATATTTTATTTCTCTTCTATTTTTGTGTATTTGCATTTTTACATTTAAGAATAAAACATGGCTTTTTACATCTTATTTTCAGTTTTTTTATTTTTCAAAGGATGCTTCCTTAAAGAGTACAAATTTCTTCTACAAGGTATTCATCACAAGTTTCAATGCTGTGTTTTATCACACATTATTTAATTACATTTTCAAAATCCCACTGTCATTCTTTTCTTTAACCCAGGACGTGTGCTTAGATTTATCACAGTTCCTTCCATTGTTTTGAATTAAGAAGTGGTGAATATAGACTTTTTAGTGATTAAACATATGAGTTGAAAAATGAGATTCTTGAAAATAAGTAGAGAGGGAAAATTGTAATGTGAGTGGATTTCTCTGAAGAGATGAGATTTTAGATGTAGTCAATAGATAGGGAAAAAGGAAAAGGGGAGGCAGGCCTAGTTCTTCTTCAAGGAAACTGAAAACCTGCAAGAAGAGTGGAAGATTCAAATGAGAAATACAGACCAGTCTATAAATAGAGGCTGGAACAACAGAAAACCTTGAAAACCAAAATAGAGTTGGACTTTGTCATGCATGCTATAAGGACTGAGGAAGATGTGCAATACCTTAGTCTCTTCTATAATCATTTCCTCTCAAATCAATGTGGACACAAATGCTGACAGTTTGTAATTATGAGTGTCATATGAGTATGTATTCTTATTCAAAGTCTTTTAGTCAGAAGACATATATATGTGTTGCATAGGAAATTTTATGTATTTTTTTTTCAGTTTTATTGTAGACAATGAAGACTAAGTGCTTCAGGAAACAAATGGAACTGACTAACACTTGAAGACCAAATATCCTTTTTAAAGATGAGCTAATAATTCCTACCACTTATATTGAATGGAGGAGACTAGTTTCTTAAAGCATTATTTTTTGTTACTCAGAAATGGTCACTGAAAATGCTGATTATCTATACCAAAAAGGTGACATTTTACATTAAATGTTGATCCTTTCATTGCTGATTCTAATGTAAAATTCATCAAACCTTGTTCTATGGAGAATAAACTTTAGGAATATACAGATGCCTAAGTAAGTGGATTTTCTAATTGTTGGAATAAAAGAAGACCGTACTCAATTTTTCTGTCAGGAATGAAACCACCTTTCATGTTGAGAAGATAAATTTTCTTTGTTTTACATTTGAAGGGTTTTATTTTAATGAAGAGAAAACATGGACATATTACTTCAGGGGTGTCAACTAAAATAAAGGTCACTACTTGCAATCTTAGAATATAATGTCTGGAATAGTGCTAGCCTGAACCAAACTGGAAGGTGGAAAAGTAGTTTTCTATAGCTCCTGGATTTCATTTCATTATTCTTCTCCTGAATTTTCCTTAGGATTCCAAATCTCCCATACAATTTGCATCTGTTTGTTTTCTTGTCCATCATTCCCCATGATGACTCTTATTCATACCCATCAGCAGTAGGGTTTTGCACCTGGGTGAGGCTTACCTAGAGGTGAAGTATATTAGGATCCTGGTGAGGAATTATTATGCAGTTTGAAATGTCCCCCATCTGACACATTACTTTAGGATGTAGACCTATAACCTTGACCTAAACAGCTGTTATTTCCATGGATATAGGTTTGTAATATAACCTATCAGAAAGTTATTCAGATATTAAAGGTAATATTTGCTAACAATCACTGAAAGAGTGAAATAAATCAATAATTAAAGAAGGAAAAAGTCATAATATTGGGGCCTCTGGATATATGTTATGGTAGAAAGATAGGAAGGGAGGTGTCTCATCAAATCTCTAATGATGTTAACTACTTAATCTATGCAACTGTAAGTCTACCAACTTTTCTGGATTTTGCTTCTAGTATATTTGGAATTATGAGAAGTATAGTAATATTGAAAATATACAAAGCAAGAGATGTCTGGAGATGAATTAACAGAAGGATATAAGGGCCAGACTGTGGAGGATTTGACTTGCCATTTTTACAAAGTTGGACTTTACCTTACAGGCAAGTGTAGAAAAGATAATTTTAAATAAAGAATGTTTTGTTTCATTTGTTATTCTGTAACTTTTGTGACTTTGATATGGTGGATTCTAGATAAATGTAAAGCTATTAGGACAAATAAAATAAGCAGAACTTTAAAATTCTTTGAGTATGCAGGTAATGGAGAGAAAGAAAAATTCAAAGATATTACCACATTTCAAGCGAGAAGGAGATCAGATAATGAAAATCAAGTTGAAGAGATGGATTGAGAGTTTAGGTTAAGTCAAGGTAAATTTAAAGGTGTTTGTTGGAAATTGAACATGCAAGCCTGAAATGTGTGGAAATATTCTGAAATGGACACAGAATTGGGATCTTTGGGATAGAGAGTAAAATTTTAATCTTTGGCAGTAGTAAATCTCACAAAGTGAGCAAGTAGAATAAGAAGTCCAGAGTTAATAACGGAATCTCAGGAACACCAACAATTAAGATGCAACAAAGTGAAAAATATATATATAAGAAATTGGAAATAAAGGTCAGAAAGTATGGGGAGAACCTGAAAACTATGTGTCATAAGAACTCAGCATCAAAGACTGTTAGAGAAAAGGCAAAGTAGTAAAAGCCAGTAAGAAATTTAGTATGTGGGGACTGAAATGGTTTCATTGGTTTAACAAGGAAAACATCCTCAGCACTAGTGAGAGCATTAGGGCATGGTAAGAACAGAAGCTTGTCTTGAGACTTGGGACTCTTCATGAGACTCTTGCTGGTGGTCATACACATCCTATAAATTCTCATCTTCTTGCCTTGCTCTATTGCAAGGTCCAAGACATTTTCCCAGCTTCTTAACACACAGCAATAGCTATCTGTTATTTAAGGTTTAATTCTAAAATCACTATGCGCAGCAAACATTTTGAATTTCTCCAGGTAAAAACAACTTAAAACTCCTCTGTCACTTTATGTGAATATATCTCTATTGGTTTTCAGCCTCAAATTGCAGTTATATTGGATAATTTTCCAGTCCTAGTGGAAATAGAGGCCAAGGTAGTGACTTAGTAAAGATCCTATTTAACTTGATTTCATGCATAAGTATGTTACTCATAAATATATATTGAATGAAAGTGAAAATAAATGGAAAACTGTACAGTGAAAAGCAAATAAATAGTATCATATTGATGAATAAATATTATGTAACTCTAAAGGGAACATTATATAAAAGTAGGATTATGATAAATAATTAATACTAGCTATAAATTGACACATTGCAATTAGCAGAAAATATTAACTTTGAAAAAAATTAAAATAATCAGAAAGTCAATCATTTCTACCTAATTTGTACACAGTTCCTAGCTCAAGGATTTTAGTAAAATTTTCCAGTGTCTTAGAAACAAAAAAATACTACTTTCATATTCTGCTTCCTTATAAAATATTATAAGGTAGAGGGCAAATTATGTTAAATGTGGAATTTTGGAAGTGGATACTAAACACATGATGACAATTTATATGTTCATGGGTAGTTGATAGTGAGGATGTAAGGAATGGGTTCACTAGTTGACAAAGAAGAGAAGTCTAATTTTTTTTGTATTGTTAAGTTGGTAAATCTATACCTCTGCTTCAAAACATTTCTGATAGCTTTGAATGGAATACTTTGCAACACTTTTGATCTTGCTTTCAAAATACATCAATGCACTGAGCTTATATCAGCTTACTAGACCAATGAACACTCATATCCATGCCTAGATTAAAGACTTTTTGTAACTCTATATTGAGACCCTTAGTCTTTTCATAATACCATGGTATTACCTATTATGAAGCAACCAGGTTTTATTCATATTCCACTTAATGCCCATGAACAAATGTCAATTTCAGAATACCACAAAAGAAGATACATTACTATGGACTTCTAATAAATTTATGACTGTCACATAAAGTAAAATAATGTCACTGAAACTTGTATTGTGATTACTTATATCAAGGTGATATTACAACTATTAGTTTATTAAGAAAAGATATTATTATGAAGTTAATTTACTCCTATATATTCTTTATTTAAAATAATAGAATTGTATATGAAAGAAGGTAAATAACTCAATTTTTTCTAGTTAAGTGTTACCTTATGATTCAGATTATATTTTCCTTTAAGAATCCTTTAACTTTTTTGTCTTACCTTAGACATATGTATATGTTAATTTATATATTTATATATTAACAAATATAAATTTATACTATATATTAATTTATATATATGTACAGTTTGGGATTGAGCATGTGCAAAGGTGTCATATACATTTTACATATTTCTAAAATTCAGAAATATTGCTTTATTAGCTTAGCTATAAAATAGTTTTTTAGAGCATGTCATGTCATTTTGGGGCAAGGGTACGTGTATAGATGTGTGTGTGAATGTGAGCATATATTAAAGCTTTGCTTATTAAATTTTTTCTTGAGATATGTTTAAAGGTATTGGATATAGTATTAATTTCATTCCAAACTTACCAGTATGTTTCTTAAAGCAAAATTCAAAATTCAAAAGTCAGCATTTCAGGGAATACACTTTTTAATTTTATATTGTTCTTGCACAGTGAAAATTTTCATGTGAGTTTTGTGCCTTAGAGTTGACTGGAATCCTATTGCTTTTAAGCAATTACATTTCTACAATTTTTCAATAACTAACTTGCAATTTTTGTGTAATTACTATTATTAATTTATGATCCTAAGGGAATAACACTATTAGCATTAGAACACTAAAGACAAAACCTTGTTAACATAGATATTTATTAACATACATACACAAATTTTAACCAAAGTGTTTGTTTCCATGTCTACGAAATAGCAAAATCAATACACACATCTCTTCTCTGACCACTATACAAAAGATTGTTTGATACTTTAGCATAAATTAGTCATAGTCATGACATGTTTTTCTTTAAGCTGCATTTACCTTTTTTGGTTGAGGCAGCACCAACCTCTTCTTTAGCTTGTTCAGTTTCTGCAAATTCAGTTATTAAAGGAATGAGAAATGGATGCTAGAGATGCCAGATCAATAGCTCATACAATGGTAAATCAGACAAGAACACAAGTAGCCAACAAATAAAATCTATGCGGCATCTGAGAGCAAAGCAAGCCACAGAGAAAGCCAAATAACAAAGTCCATGTATGGTTTTATTTTTCAACAAATTAACTTTCTTAAATAACAATACAGAAACTGTCTTCTAAGGTATGTTGGATATTAAAATTGTCTTCTTATATAAATAGTGGCAATAACAAATGCAGCTTATTCCACAAAATACAATGGGATAGTAATGTGTTTATCTATAGGCAAATTTTAAGTGATGTATGAATTTTAGTGAGCCTTTAATTGTGAAGATGGTAAACAGTATTTGATATCAGCCAACTAGCCATAATATTGCAGAAAATTATATCTGAATATTGATTCAAAAGAGAAAAAGAGTATTACAAAGGCCAGGGATGGCTTTATTTTTAGTTTCCCTGAAAAGCTAGTATGGAAGATAAGTGAGCCTCCCTGAAGACACAGTCTGAAATGCTAGTCCTAGCATAAAATGTTGGTTGTTAAATTGGGTAGTTAAAGGAGATGCTTTCTGTAGTCCACAGGATAAAAAGAAAAATAGTGATGAGATAGCAAAATTTTACAAAGCTCTATGTATTAGGGGTTATTTCTCCTAATCATGTATTTTTTAATTTTTATTCTTATTGGCACTTGTGTATATCCCCCAACTAACCCAAATACATTCAGCTACTAAGGCTCTGAGAACAGCCAGCCAACAGGCCAGACTTCTTCACGGCTTTGTCCTTCCTGTGCAATAAGACACTGGGCTGTGAAAGAGATCAGAGGTAGGAAGGAGGCCTACACATTATTTTCATATTTTAATTCCACAATATGAGACATCATAAGATCCATAGTTTAAGCCCAAGCAAGATGTCATGTAGATATCCTCTTCTTTAACCTGTGTCAAGACTATGAGCTCCAGGAACGAGCAGCTCCCTCAGTATTTTATACTTTTCAAGTAGACTTAACATTAATGGTTCTCTAACTATACCATGGCTCAGAATAGTCTTAAAGGACTGTCCAGTGAGAATCCACCCTGAGAATCTGCATTTCTAATGACTTCACAGCTGATGCTTGTGGTGGTGAGCTGGGCCAAATTAGGAAATTGGTTAATGAACTTCCCCTAAGGATCAGTTGAGACCAATTTCACTGTGACCTTCAGCCCTGCTTACCTCAGTCACTACCATGAGTTCTCCAGCAGAAAAGAGTTTATATGGTTCTGTATTTCTCTTCAAAACTGACCTATTCTACTGTGTTCTTTGTTCATCTGTAGCAATTGCCTCTATACTTTAGCCTGTTAGGATATTAACTTTATTTGTTCCTTTAACTAAGCCCTCGCTCACTAAAGTCATGAAATCTTCTATAAGTAATCTTCTAAAGTGGAGAATGTTTGTTTTTCTATTCTTCACATATAAAAGTACTTGGAATTGATGCTTATATAATCCTCTTTGTTTCTTATATTATTTTTCATACATTGCTATCTCCTTACTTTTTCCAAATCCCAACCCTTTTGATATATATGCTGTCAAATTGTTCCAGATTCTACTCTTTATTGTTGTCTTTGACCAACCTTTTGGCATATCTGTTTATTCACTGAATAATTTTGCATATAGTTATCATTCTCCCCACTACTTTTATTGTAGGGTTTCATTAAGAATCACTCTCGAATGCACATTAGAATAAGCTGAGGAGTTTTTATAAGTCTGTGATATTCAGATACTAGGAGTGGGTTTTAAATCTGAGGTTCTGAGTTAATGAGTCTGGGGTGAGTCCTTAGCGTTGGTGTATTTCTAAGCTTTCCAAGATATTCTAGTAAATAACCAGAGTTGGGAGTCACTGTTATACACAATAGACATGACCTCAGGGTCTCTCACTTCCTTTCCTTTCTCACTTCAGAAAACTGGAAACCCTGCATTTCTGGTCAATACCACCAATATATTCTTATACTTTTCTGGAACTATTGTTTCTATTTATAACTCACGTACTCAAGAACTTCCTCTAAATGGTGTCATTGACCCCATTTATAGTTTCATTGCTTTGATCTTACCACTCTCTCACCACTCATGTATCCCACAGTGCTGGGGATAAAACCCAAGGCCTTGCACATGCTAGCTAAGCATTTTAGAACTGAGCTACATCTCCAGCACTTAGATTTTGGAAACATGGTCTTCTATATAGCCCAGGCTGGCCTTCAACTTATGATCCTCCTGCCTGCATCGTAGTGCTGGGATTACAGACACGAACCACCACATCACTTCCACTGTTTATCATTAACTGTGCTTATAGATAAATGGGCCAGAGTTACTTTTCTGTCTTTGCAGCCAACTTCTACATTCATTTCTTAAGGCTGCTTTTAAGATGTTGGATAGATAAAACCAAGAGAAAATTTTTTCCTTGATAGCTCTGGAGGCTGTAAGTCCACAATTAAGGTCTTGATAGGCCTTTTGAAGACACTTGGGGAAAATCCATCCTTGCCTTCCCAAACTTCTGGTGGTTTCCAGTAGTCCTTAGTATCCTTTGGTTATAAGCAAATCAGTCTAATTTCTGCTTGTATGTTCATGAGGCTTCCTTACTCAGCATGTGTCCATATACCTCCAAATTTCACCTCTTCTTACAGGACATTAGTCATCAGATTTAGATGATACATTAATCCAGTATTTCATTGCATCTATAAAGACCATATTCAAAATAAGGTCACATTCAATGTTACCTAGGAATGACTTCGAAATACCTTTCTTGGGGACACAATTCAACAATTAGATCTGGAAAAACACTAAATCTATTTGCAACCACTACCTGAGCAGCCGTTCAACCTGAAGGAATACTGCCACTCTGCTATCCAAACCAGGAGAAGAATGAATCCTGTAGCAAACTATACTTCAAATGTCCATCAAAACACATATGAGAGCTTTCATCACTGGTCGACAATAGTATCATTGATCTAGTGAAGCTGTTTGCTCATTTTCCTTGAAAACTGGTCCACAAACCTCTTCCCTTCTCAAATTTACCACATCAGGCAACTCAGAGGCAAACACTTGTTGAGAAAGTCATAAATAAAATAAGTGCCTACATAATGTCTCAACTTCCCACTACCTCAACAGTACATATATATTCTTTATTCCACTGCCAAAGGATAAGTTCCTGCCCCATTTAATGCCAACCCTTCCACTTTGCCCTAGATTCCATCTCCTTTTGACTAGTCAAGGTCTTTATTCTTGGATATCACTCCTATCTACTATCTCATCATTTTCCCCTTTTCTGATGCTTTCAGTTACCTCAGTTGTCATCCCCAGCTACCCATCTCTCTCTGTTTCATACAGCTTCAAAGTGCTGGTATACTCAATGCCAACAGTTTTATCTTCTCACTCTTCATTTTTTAAACTTTTTAATTGTAGAACATTTTTGTACATTTTGATGAATGGCAATGAAGAATATTAGCCTTTTGTAATCCTTGCAATCTTAAGATATAGAGTATCATCAAAGCCCTTGGAAAACTCTTGTTCTACTTCTATTGCACATCTCTTCCTTCATCTCAGAGTTATTGTTGTCCTAAATTTTGTATTAATTACTTCCTATGCTTCTACACAAGGTTGTATTGCATGCATTTATCTCTAAACAAAGGTAGTTAAATTATATTGATTAATGAAACAACTTTACATAAGTTGTTTAACTCTTATGAATTGCTTTGTTCAAAATATTTTTGAGATGTAACCATATTGGTTTGAGTAACTTTAGTTGATGATGTTTCTGATGTATAAATAATCTACAAATATGCATCTATTCTCCTGTCAATGCACACATCTAATTCTGTGCTGCTACAACTAATTCTGCTAATAACATTCCTGTACATGTGGACTTGTGCCCATGTGTAAGAATTTTCTGGGCCAAAGTATGTGCTTATTTTTGACTTCTCTAGATCAGTCATATCTTCCCCAAAATTTTATATTCACAACAGCAACATATGTGAGAGTTTTTATGGATTCATATCATCACAAGAAGGATCACACTTCTCTACTTTCTATCAATTTTGGAGTATGAAATAGTATTTTGTAATTTTTAAGTAAAAGTCCATTATTACTTAGAAGTCATAAATGTTTGGATATGTTTATAAGCCATTCACAATTTTAATTTTTTAATCTTGCTCATACTTTTGTACATTTTTTGTATCTATTCTATAAAATTGTGATTTTGAAGTTACTTATTTTTTGCTACTAATCTCTTGCTATTTATCTATGTTAAAATGTCTTTTCCAAGTTTGTGGCTTATGCCTTACCTTTATGATGTACATTGATAAAGTTCTCAACTTCAATATGATAAAATATGTCAGCTTCTAAATTCATTACTTGAATTTTTATATCTAGCTTTTCAAATGCTCCTATACTTTAAGAAAATGTATAAATATATTTTCCTGAGCTTTTAGAAAGCAATTCCATGTTTTGCCTTTACTATTTTAGTCCCTGAACCATCTGGAATTGATATTTTGGAATTATATAAAATGGGGATAAATTACATTTTTGTAATGAACAGTAACTACATCAGCAACATTTTAAAATTATCTATTCTCTGAGTGTCTGAAGTTGCTGTACTTTTTTAGCATAAGATTTTTTAGGTCTATCTTTTGTCTGTGTCCTATTAGATAATTTGTACCATGATACCCTTTAAAATATAATATAAGGAGACTTTCATTACTAAGACTCAGGACATAGTACTAATCTTGTAGTCACATATTTGATAGGATCTGTTTGGCTGTGTTCATTATTTTCTTTTCCCTGCAGTGAAATTTATTTGTTAACTCACTTGAAACCTTCATTCTCTCCATTCTGCTTCCTTATGTCTAAATTAACCTTAAATTCTGTTGCAGGGGGTGAATTCAAGTATGATATATTTGATATATTGTAAGAACTTGTATAAATGACACAATGTACCTCCAGCACAACAATAAAAAATTTTGACCAAAAAAACCTTTAGATTCTGCCTCTGTTTATATTCTTCTATCTAGTTTGAATCAAAGAGTTAAGCCAACTTTGGAGTGCATTCTTAGACTCTGAACCTTGACACTTTCCAATGTAGATTTTCACCCACAATACTCACCTTGTGCACAAATTGCAACAAGCTCATCCTTCCCTACCATCTAAGCCAGTCCCTCACAACTTAGTGTTCCTAGTACACAAGCTTCTTAAAACCATCACTCTTGTGCTATATCAATACTACATTGAGTATATTCTTACAACAGCAATTATGATAGTTACCATGTAAGATGTTACCTACACTAAACAACTGAAAGGATGTGCTAGCAATAATTGCTCTGGATAGTATAGTAACAAACACTAACCTATGCGAGACTCCTGGTCATATTCAGTATGTGAAATGTGATCAAGACACACCCCCTCTGATATAAGATGTGCAGGTTCAGGCCCATAGTGCTTTACCCCAATAATACTTCTCATATAGGTTGCCCTCAAATATGCTTTTAATGTTAAGTAACTAAATAAATTCAAGAGGTCTTTACTTTTCAATTCTGCACATTGACTTCTAAATGATCCTGATGTGCACTAGGAGATCAGGTGATCAATCAGATATTTAGACTCTGATGTGCAGTTAAAGTGCTAAATATAGGCTTTGTGGCTAAGCATACCACAAAATTTTTGCAGTGCTAAAATCAAAGAATCAAAAATCCATGATTATTGCCATTTCATATAAATTTAAATCCACAGCTAAAAACAAAACAGGTCCCTGACCTGTTTTGTGATTTTTTTTCTCAAAATTCAAATTGACCACAGTCAGGTTGAATATGCATGTGGAACATGTGAGCTAAGCCCCAAAGTCCCAGATATGCAGTGAGTGAACTATGGCAGTGCTTTCAACGGTCTTCAAAACACTGATCCTGGAAGTGTTCACTGACAATAGAAAAGGGGGTGATGTTATCAAATCGATTTAGTAAACTATATCTACTTGAAGATTCACTACAAATGGTGTTAAATATCTGAAATAATCTATAATCTAAAAATCTACTTGTTTGGTTCACTTTCTGCTTAAAAATGACTAACCACCTTGTCAACTTTTGTGTTCTCCAATGTTTCAGGTGGCACATGCAGAAGACTGCAGGAAGGCGAATGGGTATTTGGAGGCAGTTTTTGCTTGCACCATGATTGAGAAGGCAATCTGTGTTGACTTGGACAAACTGTAAATCTAGGTTTGGCATTCCTGCCTGGCCCAAGGCACTCTTCCTCCATCAACACCATCTTTTGGACACATCACTTTAGGTGTGGCGGCACCAATTGCCCCTCCTGAGCACTGCATTGTTGAACCTGAGAAGGTTTCTCTTTTCTTCAAGTTCATGCTATCTATGAGAACCTTCATCCCAAAGTGGTAGCAGCCCCTACCTAGCCCATGTCCTCCAGTATATTTTTCATAGACTTTGGTTATTCTTCAGGACTTGGAGTTAACAGTTCTATTCCACTAACTCTGTTTATCTTCTCGTTACCTCTCTTAATTCAGTGTTAATGGTAAATCACTTTTTCTATTTTCCATGGTCTTGCTAACTCTGTTAATCTCATCTTTCATTTAAAATTCAATACCATGGAATTATATCACATAAATATTTGATTTTATGTTAATTCAACTACACATCACTTTATCTTATTGGCTCTTATAGTTTAAGATAATATAAAATTATATTCCATATATGCAGGTAAAAATATATAAATAAAAAGTATTTGTAATAATATGAGATTTTCATCTTAGGCATTGACTTTGCAAGTAGCCTACTGTGTGCTTTATGGAAAACTTGTTATATTGCATGAGTTCAATGCCCCAAAACAGTTATTAGTTGAAGAAATGGCTGATGATACTATTATTAGAAAATTTAAACAGTTTATGATTATCTCTAAGTGTTTTTTGTACTGAAGGATAATGTCCATGTGAAGTCCAAATACATCAACCACATAAATAATTGAATATTAACTCTTGAAATTTTTATATTGTGTTCAAATGATTTGGCAACCTAATTGGCTAATTTCCTGCCAAAGATGCTGGCCTCTTCAGAACTTGATTGTGTTTCATAGATGACAGTACTTACAGATGCCTTTACTGTGAGCAAATATTTTTATGTATGTGTCACATTTTCCTAGTAAGAAAATTTTAATTTGCAGAGTAATCTTCAATCTAACTTTCTCTACCAGTACTGCAAAATTATGTTTGGTTTGATGCATTTTCTTGATTATGCATTTCTACAGAGAAAGTATTAGCATACTAAACAATCCATAATAGAGTTCCAGTTAGCTTTACACCCAAATTTAAATTCAAAAGTTTTGTGGAGATAGAAATGGAATTTTAGATTCATGCTAAACCTCTCTTTTAAAGTCCTTGATATCTATATAAACAATTCTAACTATAATGCTCTTTAAAAGACATTCTCAGCATGCTACTTTATATATTTCCCACTTATTCTCTAACCTATCTGCCAATGATATACTCTGTCTCAAAAAATCCAACACTAAATAAAATGTGCATTGCTTTTTTCCCTTAGCACCATCATCAATGCCTCTAAACCCAAAAGAAAACATAACCACATTTTGTTGTACATACAATTGAGAACTGACCATAAATCCCATGTAGAAAAAAGAAGCTAACCAATTTTTCCAAGTATAAAGTGTGTGGAATTATGTTTAAAATAATTTTAATGACAGTATATCAATTACCTGATTAAATTAAGAAATACAAAGAAAGAAATGAGCATTTCCCCCTACGCATGTTGTCAAAGTTACCATTCATGCAAATGCTCTGGTATGTTATGATGATGATCAATATTTTATAATCTGAGGATACAAACATTAAAAGGAAATTAAGACACTATTAAAGCAAAATAATAAAATAAAATTTGGGGGAGGCTACATTTAATTGAAGACACAACGTTAAAGGTAGACGAATCATGCTGCTTAGTGATTTAAACAAGTAATTCAACTGTCTGATGTGTTTAAGAAACTGGAGAGGTCATTTATTCTGCAAAGTGAGAGAAAAAATATAAACAATTCTATGGAGGTTTTGATATGAACAAATCAAAATTTATAAATGATAGCTCTATAGATAGATAAATTTTCACAAAAATGAATGCATAGAAAAGACAGAGATGAGTACTTTTATATATTAGTTCAACATAACAAATAATAATACAAGAAACATTTGGTAAACCAGCCTCTGCAATTAGTATTAGCATGATCTATAGCAGAAAACTTAAATGAATAAGCTGCTAAAACAGGCTCTTTTGAAAACGTTTTTTTCTACATACTTGCTTTTACTTGTTTTTTACTTGGAGCTGTTGATAACAAGAAGAAAGAAGGTCTACATTAATTACAGGTCTAATTAATTATAGGTCTATCTATCTTTTTTAAAAAATAACTTTAAGGTTATATTGTTGTTTGAAATATTGTGTGTATAATATTGGAAACAGAATAAGAAACAGTTCTGAGAAAGAGAAGGTATACTATTACCATTGTCTTCAATATACTCTAAATGTATTCCATGAACCACATATTTTTTGTTAGTCAAACATTTACAAAAACTGAATGTTCATTCATGACTTATTCATTTTGTTTTCCAGTTTAAAATATTTAAGGGTTCTGATTGTTTATATATTAAGGCAGATGCATTTTCCTCAAAATCTGTAAAATGGTAGGAAAACAAAGAAATCTCTTGATAAATTACCCAATGGTTCTAATTTTTAAAATATAGATTAAGTTTGACTAAATTGCTGTCCTGTAATCACAGAATATGTATCAAAATATATTAAAATGAACATATGCTGAGCTCAAGCAATTTAACTTTACTGTATTTTATGTCATTCAATATTACATTGCAATATTTATCTATTAATATTCATAAAACTGTTTATACCAATAGCCACTCTGTATGCCTCTCCATGTTTCTATGATATATGTCCTATCTTAGATTTCTGCCTAAGTGTGAATATGTGTTATCATTTAGGGAAATGCCTTTTGAATAAATGGGCTGTTCTCTGTAAGGTGAGCAGAACATTTCTATCCAAAGGTTAAATAGCATGACTATTAATGTGAAATAGTGAAATGTGTGATTATTTCATCTTTTAAATTATGTGTTTGAAAGTCATTCAATGTTAAACTCCTAAAAACTGTGATTATTCCATTTGCTTTCCCTCCTTTCACACAATAAATCATTATCAAGTGCCAATTGTATGCTTGGAATTATAACAGGCATTCTGAGAATGGATAAAAACAGTTTCTATCCTCTAAACTCTGACTATTTAAAGTAGAATAATGAAAAGGTAATTATGATTATAATATTATATTAAATGCTATTTAAAAACTAAGGAAACTACTTGGTAAAACACTTAAATAGATTTATGTTATCTAGGGAGGTCTTAGAAACTTAGAAAATTAATGAGAAATGGGGCTTTGAACAATGGCTCTCTATGATTATGGCAGATTTGGTACTAGAATTTAGTCACATTTGCATGGCTATTTACATAATATTGAGCAAGTGCTATTTCCATCTAAATACAATGAAATGGGAGGGATGACTAATGAACCTTATATGAATTTATGTCTGCCTGTGCACACCTCCCCCCCTAAACCCTTAGCTAAATTCTTTGAGTAGTATTTAGTCAGGCAAAGTCAAAAGCTAATGTCTTCAAAATAGGTCAGCACTAAACATTGCAGAAATTTTCATTTCAAATGACTTAACTAGACAGGTTAGACGCTACGAAACTTTAAGAAAATGATTTGGTACCCAGCTAACTGCGCTTTTGGTTTTGTTGACTAGATTATTTTTTCCCATGTTGATTTTTCCCATTCGGATGTCAATGCATTAATACATACCAAATATCTTTCCACTTTCATGACAACTATTCAGAGCATTCAAGAAATGCATTCAAGTAACATTAAAATAAGGAGAAAATATTTTTCTGAAATTGAATATAAGGTGTATTTAGAGAAAATGTTTTGTTCTTGTTTTAGTTTTGTTTTTATTTTTTATGCTGAACTGTGAAACAGTACTTTTCAAACACTGAACAAATGAAGGATACCCAAAGTAGAATCAGTAGCTCTGGGGTGGGGCTGGCAATTCTACATGTTTGACTCTTAGGTAATCTGATGCTGCTAGTTCAAAGAACACACATTGAGTAACAAGGGTATAGCATGCTATGTGGCTTTCATTTTCTAAAACTTCAGTGATGTTAAATGTATGTCAAGAACTTGAAAAAAATAAAAGATTGTAAGATGGAATGGTATCCTGCTTCTTCTTAGCATTGTCTTTACACTCCTGTCTGAGGTTAGCTACTGCATAAATAAACATTGGCCCTCAGGTAGGAAGAGTTCAACTGCAAAAGCTTACCAACCTGAATGTTCCTTCTTTGGTGACTTTGCTGTATCAAACAAGAAAAGGAAAAAAAAATCATTTCATGCCATTCATCTATTTCAGCACTTAATTGAAAATTAGATACTATCATAAAATTAAGAATATAAAAGAAATTACAAACAGTTACCTGGTTCTGCATGTTTTTCTTTCTTTTCCTGTTCTGAAATATATTATTATCATTAGCATTATTATAATTATTATTGTAGTTTTATAAGTTGTAACTTGTTTTATCATAAACAAACATGCATGATTACATGCAATATTTGTCATGAAAGGCTAAAATTATATATTTAAAGTGATTCTTTCCTTCCAATTTCCTTGGGAGTGCATTCACAAAGTAAAATCAAAATATTCTGAATATTAAAGCAATTCAATTTTTATGATTTTTAGACCAAAAAAATAAAATAGAGTTAATGGGAAATTTTTGCTATCATTTAAATCAATGTAAAATAAATTTTGGATAAAAATAAGCATAAAAGATAATTATTGCAGATGTTTAAAATAATTCTCAGAAAGATGAAAATGGACCTATTTCATATGGACTTCTCTTTTAAGGTTCTTCCTATAGTGGAGAGATTTATTTAGTTAACACAAATGTTTTGCTGAAACATATTTAAGACACTAAAATAGGGAAAGAAGTAAAGGTGAAGCAAAACACACTTGCCTAGTTTGTAGAACAAATGTTCCTTAAATAAACCTCTTTTGATAATGTTTCAAGAACCCACATTTATCAATGTTGTACAAGACAAAGCATTATTCTGTCCTCAAGATGAAGCTAACACTTAAATTATAATGAGTACTACTTTTATATGAAGTCCTATTGTTTATATTCTTATTCTTATTTATTTTGGTTTTTGATAAGCTTGTCAAATTAAAAGATTCATAAGAAATGCTATTATGCAGACACATTACTAACTGATTTTTAAAGAAAAAGAAAGGAGGATTTTTTTTAAGTTTCATTTAGTGAATAGATTTTGAAGACTAGAAGATATTTATGCTGAAAAAGATTCTATGTAATTTCATTTAAAACATAGATGTTATACAATCTTCTTTGGTCACTGGATCAGTCTCCCAATGCACAATTTCATTTATTAGGATGTTCTTTTGTCTGCATAATAAGCAAATTGTTTACTGATAAAGTAAGCAGTAAAATAAAAAAAAACAAATGGCTTGACTAAGTGTTGTAAGTCAAAAGGAAGAAGCTTAGGTGACTTAGTTAAAATTAAACATGATGAGTTATTACTACATGTTATTTTGAAAAGGAGTAACTAAATTCATTGTGTAAGTAACTGCTGAATGAAAGCTCAAATTATGAAACATTTCTAAGACATTTATAAAATGATGACTACAACAACAAAAAATTACTGGAAGCTGATGAACGCCAGTTATATATGAGATTCAAAGATAAAATAACACCTGCTTATCTTATTGGAAAGCCACCACAGATGCAAAAAAGTACCAGTTCTAATTTGAAATGTTATGTAAGAGAAGACACTTTAGAGTGTCCATTATGTGGAATACTGCAGGATATAATTATTGAATTACCTTAATAAATATGTTACTTTATCATTACATCCCACAGGTACTGTCAAGTTATGCCCATGATTGATTTCTGAGTTGTTGGGTTTTTTATATTTTATTTTGAAAAAAGTTGTAGAGTACACAATGTAATTTACAAAATATACATGCATTCTTTTTCCGTTTCCTTTACCATGATATTCATTTATTTATTTACTTATTTATTTATTTATTGGTGGTACTGAGAATTGAACTCAGCCTCATGATTGCTAGGCAAACACTGTACCACTTGAACCACATCCCCAGCCATTTTGGTTATAGTTTATTTTTTTCAGATAAGGTCTTGCTTTTGTTTGGGTGGCCTTGGACCATGATCCTCCTACTTCTGTCTCCTCACAAGTAGCTGTGATTTCAGGTTGTGTACCACCGTGCTAGGCAATGACTAATTTTAAACTGAAAAAAAGATCAATGGTTTAAGTCATGCTAACTAGAAAAGGAGAAGCAAAATATATACAGTTAAGAAGAGAGTGGTGGAGGGGGTGAATTCAAATATATTTGATGCATTGTAAGAACCTTTGTAAATGCCACAATGTACCCCCACCCAGCACAACAATAAAGAAAAAAAAAGAGTACATAAGTCAATGAGAAAATCATGAACATAATAAAACCCAAATCAAATAAATTCAAAGACACAAGGATAACAATAATGGCAAGTCTGGATGACAAATCAGAGCAGACAAGTTAACTTGAAAAGAATTAATAGTTGTTTTGAAGAGAAAGTTTTCTCTTCCCAATTAGTGCCCAAGTCACGATCCATGGACCTTCTCCAGGAGGGGAGCACCTGGGTTGTAAAGAATTCTTGGGAAGTCATGTTTATTTATTAAATAATCCAATGCCCTGAAGATTGTCAAGGAGTTGCAGTGTGTCTGCAGGAACTTTTAAATCATATACACTGCAATAAAGCGAGGGCCTAAGGTCATATATATATATATATATATATATATATATATATATATATATATATAGTATTTTTCAAATCTCCAGTTGTCCTCTGGTTTTTTTCTGCTGGTGCAATGGTTTATGGAGTGGTTTCCATATCCCTGTGTCAGAACTCATCAACAACTGTGCACACTCATAAATCTGGGGCTGAATGAACACATACTTCTCTATAGATAAATTGCTCCCTCTGGCTGGGTTGTAGAGTAATTTCATCATTTTTTTTTTCTACAGGACATTTTAGAGCATTTTTTATGACCTAGAAGGCCTCAGTTTTCTAACTTTCTGTGGGACCAAAGCACACATAAACATTTTGAAAAATTGGTGTATATTTTAAAACATTTAAAAAATATTATTGGAATATTAAAAATCTCTACACTCCTAGAAGTGTGCAATTTTTAATAACTGAGTAGAGTGGTGTTTTAGTTCACATTTGTTAAATATATCATATTTTCTTCAGAAGAGAGCATATATTTGCAAAACACACAACATAAAGTCATGGAGCTTTACTGAAGCAAATTGCTAGGAAACAGCTTTAACAGTGTCAAAGCAATGGTGTACAATGCCCACGATATGGGTTGCAAGCAATGTTCTTATGTGGAGCTCACAGTGCCTATAGGGAGAAAGTCATGCTACATACAAAATACATATCAAGTGAACATATCAAAATATTTATGGATTACAAGAAGAAAGATAATAGAAAAGAAGTTGGAAAACTAACATTGATAAACTGAATTCTAAGAAATAAGAACTAATTAGACTACAAGTATAAGATCATTTGGGTTAATGGAACACAGTTGCCTATTTTTTTATGAGACTCTGGGTAGTATTATTAAATGCTTGCACAAGTTGGAAAGGGAGCTCTAAGAATGTTCGCTGTACTTTGCAGGCTACTCATACATCCAGGTTTTGTAGTCTTCATTCTAACAAAAACTCAACAGAATCCACATGCATAAAACCTAGAAAAGGGAGATTCAAAACTGCAGGTCTAACTACAGCAGCAGACCAATAATAGTAGTAAAGAGAAACAGTGTACACAAATAGACTTGGCATGCATTTCCTTACTTTTTCCCTTGGGCTGTTCTGTTGAAAGAAATAGAAACAGAAAACTATTGTTCTTACAATCTTTAAATGTTAGATTTACTGTCAACACATTGATCTGACTGCAGTTTTTCCAAGCTCCCTCCATATCTTTTCCATTTAAATTTCACAATGAATCTTGTTTTAAGGTCTCACCAATGATCACAGATAGTTCCATAATTTGTTTGAAAAACATTATTCAACAAATGAATTAACCTAGAAATACACTGCTTAACTTTTAAATTATTTACATTTGGTAGTTGTCTTAAAGACATGTGAATAAACACATTTTATACATAAACCTACGTGAACAAGGCCAGAAGGCAAAGAAGTGTACTTGCCAAGTGGATTATGACTCTACTTCAGACTAAAAGCACCTTCTCAATTCCTAACTGATGTTGCTATTTCCAAAATTAATTAAATGTATACTTTCTATTAAAATAAATGCTTGATGCTTTACATTGTTCAATTTCTTGTAAAGCAAACATTTCTTTGAAAATAATTATTGTGAAAATAAGGTAAATATACACAGTATTTATTTACTATTGTTCTATGTATGTTTTTATAGTTACAATTATGATTGTTATTTTGCAGGACTGGGGATTGAACCCAGGGTCGCAAGTGTTATATCCCTAAACTACATAAAGCTCAGCCCCTCTATTTTTTTTATCATTGCCTAACATTTCTCCTGGCAGTATTTTCATACAAGAACTCTCTCTCTAACTCTCTCTCTCTCTCTCTCTCTCTCTCTCTCTCTCTCTCTCTCTCTCTCTCTAAACCCTCCCTCTATTCTACAAATTACAGAAATAGAATGATTAATCTTTTAATAAAAATGCTCTTTTTAGAGTTAACCAAATACAAGATAGAAAAAGGGAGTACTTTTATTACCTTCTGCAGGTTTTTTGTCTTCTTGGAATCTGGAAATACAAAGATAAATTATAGTTAAAACGGATAGGATAAATCAACAACTGAGTAGTTCACAACAAAATTTCCATAATCACTGAAAAAAATTCCACAGAATGAATTGACTATCTGAGATATTTCTAAAATATAAAGCCTGTTTTGTAAAGAATCAGTATTACACTGAGGCAGGAGTTGATAAACTTTTTAAAGTATAAGATATAGAAAGAAAACATTCACATAATTTGCATAGAAACTTCATAGTACTTTTAAATAAAAATTTTACCTTATTAAATAAAAAGTTAACTTGAGCAAATACATGGTTTCTTTCTATAAATATGAGTTTGAGTCCATGAAGTTAGCTTGTAGCTTCATTTGTTCAATGCATTGTGTTGTCTTTGACTAATGCATATTGGTACAGATATGCAATGGAAAATAAATATGTTGGTATTCCTTAGGGCTCCTTATGAATAAACAAATTTATTCATTAACTTATTATTTCACTCATTCATTAGTTTATTTATTTTGTGGTACTAGAGATTGAATCCAGGGCCTCACACATGCTAGGCAAGTGCTCTACTACTTGACCTATGTCCCTAGTCCATAAATACATTATATTTATAACTGGTATGTATATAATTTTTTTGTGCAGTACTGGGGCTTGAACTCAGGGCCTACACCTTGGGCCATTCCACCAACCCTTTATTTTGTGATGGGTTTTTTCGAGCTAGGTTCTCATGAACTACTTGCCCAGGCTGATTTAAAACCATGATCCTCCTGATCTCTGCCTCCTAAGTAGCTAGGATTACAGGCTTGAGCCACCAACACACAGCATCTATTCTATTTTTGATACAGAAGCATTTGACCTAGATTTGAGAAATCTAATAGTTTCTGTTATTGAAGCCATAAACTTCCTGTCCTTATCACTTGAAAATAAAAATTCTGCAAGAAGTTTTTTATCTTATTCATTTTAGAATGGAAGCACCTTAGTTTAGATTTTTGCTTAGAATACTATTTCTTATTTTCTTTGTCTTTTTATCTCTTCTGCGAGAAAAATTTGAAGATCTGTATTTTGCAGTATGGGCTCCACCACTAGAGCCATGCCTCCAGCCTTTTTTGTTTATACTTGGTTTCTGAGATAGGATCTTGCTAAGTTTGCCCAGGCTGGCCTGGAACTTGTGTTTCTTTGCCTCTGCCTACCATGTATCTGGGATTACAAGAGTTCACCACCACACCTAGCTGATATTATTTATTACTGAAATTAGAAGTACTATAATGTACTATGGATTGATGTTTGCAAAAGACAGATGAATTGTTTGGGGGCTGGCTTTAGAACTTAGAAGGGTAGACATTCATTAATAATTAATAAATTAAGGGATTTACATTTCTTACAGTGTGTGTCAGTATCACAACTTTACTTCCATGATGAAGTAATGAACTTAAAATATTTTAGAATGACAGTATATTTTTGTCTATTCACCAATGACAGTTAGTCAACAAAGATTTTTTTATTAAAAATGATAACCAATCACACTGGTAGTAGTGTGGTAAAAGTGACAGTATATTCACAGAGAATTATAAGCTGGAAACACATTTTAGAAAGGCAACCCGTGACATAATCCAGGTTAGTAATCCATGGTAATAAACACTGGCATGCTTTTTGATGAAGTAATTTCATTTTTAGGAACCTAAAGAGAAAATGAAAAATCATTAAAATATAGGAAGGAAGATACTTTTCCATGACATTGTTTATATCTCAAAACAATAGAGATATTAAGCATGCCTTCTGAACAATAAGGGGTTGTTGAAGAATTTGTGCTATACCCAATAATAGAAAAATGCATAGCCATTAAAATGATGCTTCTGCAAATTATGTCAACTCTGGGAAAATATTAGCTAAATAAGTAGAAGCTGGCATGTGGTAGGTGTGGAAATCTCAATATGATATGCGTATGTATGGAATGATGGTTATTATCAATCTATCTTCCTTCCTCCTAATAATTCAAATCAACAATATATCATATTGGTTATCAATTGTATGGAACATAAGAATAAAACATAATATGAAATTGGGGTCAGATGGATGATAGTACTAACTGAGATAAAGTAAAACATTTCATAAAATAGAAATGCAAAAAGTAACAAGCCATGATCTGACCAAGTAGGTCTTTAAAATATTGAAAGAATGGGAAGTTAAAATAAAATTTACTTAAAATGTAACCATAAAAACGTATGTGCTCATTAGGAGCCAACAGCTCAACAGACTTATACAAGAAAGAAACTGAGCAACTGAAAAATATGGAGCATGGAAAGATCA